ATCTCTTGATCACTTTCTTCTTGAAATATCTTCTTCACTACTCTTTTCAGTTTTCTCCTGCCTCACTAGTTCTCTTTGTGCAGAAAAGAGTTAACATAGTAGGCCTGAGAGTACCTGTCATAGTCATCTAGTGCTGCTGTAACAGAAATACAAGTGGATGGCTTTAACAAACAGAAGTTTTTTTCTCTCACAGTTCAGGAGGTTAGAAGTCTGAATTCAGGGCGCCAGCTCCATGGGAAGGCTTACTTTCTCTATCGGCTCTGGTGGAGGGTTCTTGTCATCAGTCTTCCCCTGCTCTAGGAACTTCTCAGCGCAAGGACCCCAGGTCCAGAGGACACGCTCCACTCCCGACTCTTCTTTTTGGTGGTAGCAGTTCCCTGTCCTCTCTGCTCGATTCTCTTTTATATCTCAAAAGAGATTGACTCAAGATACAGCCTAATCCTGTAGATTGAGTCCTGCCTCGTTAACATAACTGCCTCTAAACCTCCCTCATTAACATCGTAGAGGTTAGGATTTACAACACATAGAAAAATCATGTCAGATCACCAAATGAAGGGCAACCACACAATACTGGGAATCATGGCCTAGCCCTATTGACACACATTTTTGGGGAACACAATTTAATCCATAACACTATCCTTAGAAAGGCCTATTTGCACGATTGGCCCTTGGCTGGCATCTAGGAACTTAGCTAGTAAGCACTGATATAAAACGTTCCCTAAATGAGAAGAATGACTTGGCTCATTATGCCTAAGCTGTTTGTACAAACAAAGTGGTTTTTGCTGAACACCTGCTTTCCTTCTGGGAGTCTGAAATCTTGGTGCATGCTAGGCAGAGGGCACCTGTGTGACCAGCCCCCAATAAAAAAACCTTGGACACTGAGTCTCCACTAAGCTTCCTTGGTAGACACTTCACATGTGCTGTCACAACTCCTTGCTGGAGAAATTACATAAGTGTGTCTTGTGTGACTCCACTTGGGGAGGACTCTTGGAAGCTTGCTCTGGGTTTCCTCCAGACTTTGCCCCATATGCCTTTTCCCTTTGACGATTTTGCTTTGTATCCTTTTACCGTAATAAGCCATTACCATGAGTATAATGACTCCTGGCAAGTCCTCCAGTGAGTCCTTGTATTGAACCACCAAGCCTGGGAGTGGTCTTGGGGACCCCCGATACACTCTTCCGTCTTTTTTTCTAATTCCTTTTCAGCTCCCTCGCCTCTAAACTTTGGGTATTCCAGGAATCCGTCTTCTGTATCTACAGCCCCTGTGTGTTCTTATCTACCATTTCTGGGCTATTACCTCTCACTCATATTAATAATATTAATTATAATGTTAATATTATATATTATATTAACAATGCCATTGATCAACATTTCAAGCTGCAAGATTCGCTAGATTTATTTTTTATGCTCTGAATTCACTATTTGGGAAATCTGCAAGCAGGAAGATTATAGATTACCAAAGTAAGGTAAAGAGATGTTACTCTTGTTACTAGGAATTATGTGGTATAATCTTTCAAAATTCATTGTTTTTCATGTTGATTGTGGAAATTTGGAAGAGAAGGAATTATAAAGAAAAAAATTACATTGTTATAATTTAAAAATGATAATCATAAAGGAATCAACATCAGAATTTTATATTACAGAAAAGCTCTAGAGGTTAGACAGAGCTAAAAATTTCAGTTAATGTAAAAGTTTTAGAACACAGACAAAATGAAATTATTGATATTTTACTACTTTTTAGTTGTACTTTTAATTATCATTTTTAAAGCATATTTAGTCTCAAGTTTATCTTATTAGAAACCAAATCCCAGACACTCTTCTACTTCTGCTGTTCAGTTTGTACAAGTTGAATGAGTCTTTTGTACTAATACCTTTACACAGCTGAAATTTGAGGACAATGTTCACCTCAATTAAAGTGATCACATTTTTTCATATGTCACCTGCTTATATAAAGGCCTATTATTATTTCCTATAATTTGATTATTTTTACATAATTCCTGCTGATGATAATATACTAATGAAAAGAGAAACTAAATGTTTTATGGTAATTTGCTATGTAAGCAGTGTCCATTATGAGTGCTATGTTAAAAGATAAATGAATTAAAAAATGATACACTGTAGTTTTCAACATTTTGTTTTAACCTACAACCACTATAGAAACCAAATACTTTTAGTTGTAGTTCTGAAGTATTGTGTTAACTGTCTTAGGGTCACTGTTGTACTTGGTGAAGTGACATCACTTTAAATGACCCTAAAATGACACTAATGCTTTACTTACCACTAGAACCATCAGAAGATACCTGCTAAATAAGTAAGTCTCTCCTGTGTTTCTTAGCTTATTAAGTCAATTGAGATGCCATTGTTAATACATAGTTTAAAATGAATAAAATATTTTATTTTTTTCATACAGTTCTTAATTTCATTTCTATGACCTGCCTCTAATCCCATAAAATGTTGGTACTGGATGACAAAAATAAGAATGAAAAAATTAGTGTTTTCTTTTGACTGAACCTTAAATTAATACAATGGTAAATAATTCTGAAGACATTATATATTGTTACTTGTCTGCTAAGGGAATTATTACAAACAATCCACAATAAAAAGCAAACATTCTTGATAAGTAAAATTGAACTTAGTATGAAAAGTAGTTTATAAATGTAATGAATCACATTTTCCTTCCTGTTCTTCCACATAAACTCACCATGCAGAATTGAAGAGCAGTAGTAAAAGCCACTTTAAACGTGTGACTTTTGTGAGAACTGCTAACTGCTTGTTCCCTGTGTGAAAAGCAGAGCTTGTAGGGGAGGCATCATCCTTGCAGCATTGTTCTCTTCTTCTCCTTGACACAACAGAGCATCCATTGTGACCCTGTGTATACGTAACTTTGGTTACTAGTTATGTATGCTTCCTCTCTATGCAATCAGACCACTAACAGAAGAAATACTAAGAATAGTATATTCTTTTCTCCCTTTCGTTCCTTCCTGTTGCTCATCCATTCAGTCATGTATATTCATTCACTCATGTGGTCAGTGATAATTTCTTGGATACAAACTGTGTGCCAGGCATTATAAAATTGAATAAAGCGTGGACCTTATCTTCATGAATTTTATGTTTTAGTTTCATAAGCGATACTCCATTCTGAACGTGAGAATGACAACTATTTCTCTTCTTAGGCTTAAATTCTGTAACTTTAAACATAGGGTTTAGATTCCTTTGTGAGGAAAGACTAACTTTTTCTAGGATGATTTAAAATTCCAAGCATATGTAATGCTGTGGATTCTTTTGGAAGAGAGTTGGGAACCTGAGTGAGAAGAGTCTTTAAGGAATTGTCCTTTATCCTCCATTATCAGAGTTCACTAGGCCAGAAGTGTTTATCAAGAGAATTCCACAGTGCTTGTGGGGGGAATGGGAGTCTTGGCTGCACAGTGGTCAAAGCTGGGCTGCTAACCGCAGGCTTGGCCATCTGAACCCGCCAGCCGCTCTTTGAGAGAAAAATGTGGCAGTCTGCTTCCATAAAGATTTACAGCCTTGAAAATCCTATGGGGCAGTTCTACTCTGTCCTATAGGGTTGCTATGAGTTGGAATTGACTCGATGGCAATGGACTTGTGGGAAGGGGAGTCCTGGTGGCACAGCAGTTAAGTGCTTGGCTAAAAGGTTAAGTGTCCACCCTATGGGGCAGTTCTATTCTGTCCTATAGGATCACTATGAGTTGGAATCGACTTGATGGCAGCGGGTTTGGTTTTGGTTTTTTTGGTTATGGTGGGAAGTGGAATTTAGTATTCCAGAAAAATCAGTAGACATTCATTTTTAGACTACTTTGGCCTTTTCACCCTGAAATATTTCAGTGATGTAATAAAGCAGTGATGTGTCTCATTCATGATAAGTTACCATCATTTGCTGCATTGTGAGCAGTAGGGCACAAAAATGATGATATACCAGTACATGGCAGTTCATAAACTGTAGTCAGTTATTGTATCTGTAGTCCTTTCAGCTGGATCTCTAACGAAAAATTTTATTTAGAAATGATAATTTCTAATACTATAGTATTATATAGTAGGACTAAATGAAGGGAGGCGAGGGCCTTCAGAAACCTAAAAAGAATACTCATCTGATATCTGTGCTTCTTGACATAGTATTTTACTATTAAAACTCTTTTAAAAAAAGTATGTAATTTGATTTTTAAAAACGTTATTGAGCTATAACTTAAATACTGTAAACTTACCCATTTAAAGTGTACATGTCAGTGATTATTAGTATGTTTACAAGTTATGCAAGCATCATCATAATTTAGTTTTAAGACATATTCATCACCCCAAAATGTAATTTGACTTTTGAACTTTATATAAGGAAATGCTACTTAAAATTGAAGTTTTCTTCAAAAATTAATATTCATTTATATGAAATCAGAATTGATAGTTTAAATTTAAAGATTTTTGGAAATTCCTATCTAAGCCACTCATGGCCCTAATAATTTATCCTCAGAAACATGTTATAGCAAAGATATTTTTGTTTTCTAAAAAGTCTGTTAACTAATTTACTGAAAAAAAGACACATTAAAATTGTTGTAGGTATTTGCTTTTATAGAAGTTACAGTAAAATTAAGAGAAGATGTAAAAGTAATCAGGTTTTCTTTGCTTTAATTTTGCTGTTTTTGAAAAAGCAAAATGCAGAAAATGTAGAATCATTTAGCTAAGGGGAGAAAAGTATATATATTTGAGTATCTGTTTATAAGTTCATAAAATATCTCTGGAAGGAAACAGAAGAAATGGTAATATTGGTTGTCTCTGTTTAGGAGAACTGGGTGGCTGGGGTTCATGGGTGGCAGAGATATTTTTCACTAAATTACTGTATTACCTATTGAAGCATTTTAAATAAAAGATCCTTGATCTCAGTCTGAAAAGCAACATTACTGAGTTCCTTCCTATTGTGCTTTGTTCCAGGTAGTAGAACTCTATTGATTTGAAACGAACTATCTTACTTTAAAAGTTGTTTTTTTTAGGAATTGATTATGGATTAAGTTTACCACTTGGGGAAGACTATGAACGGAAGAAACATAAACTAAAAGAAGAATTGCGGCAAGATTACAGGCGCTATCTTACTCAGGTAGTGAGTTCTATTTATTACTTGGGTTTTATGCCTCAGAATTCATTGCCTAAATTTGTTTTCCTAAGGTTTTATTCGTATGCATTAATTTTCAGGTTTTCAGTGCTGTCTAGCAAAGGGGTTGCAACTTTGAGTGTTATAGTCAAAATTAAGTAACATATATATGACATAAATGATATTGATAGAGACAGCTGGTACTATGAACTAGTGCCATGGACTAACACAGGCTCGACCTTTGCATTAGGGCAGTGGATTCTAATTTCAAATGAGATTGTAAATTCTAGTTGGTCATATTTTCTGTAAAGTTATAATGGCTTAAAGAAGCCCAGTTACGATTCACCATTCTTCTACCCCACTCTCTAAGCCATGGATTAAAATGACACATGGAGTTACTAGTAGCTAATTATTTTCCTATGACCTAAGCTTAAGAAATTTCATTTAACGTGTTCATTTAATTACCAAAGTATTTGCTTAATGATTTAGTCTGTTTTTCTTAGCAGAACTTTTGTTTTAACTATATTTTGTTAAAGTATGTAATAGCTAAACTAAAGGTTTAGTGTAAATTTTAAAATGCCATTGAATATTTACTTTATAAAATTATTGTAAACAATCAAGATGTTTCTGTTCATCCCAAGATATTCTTTAGTTTTTCACTGCTTTAAACTCTTTGTTCCAAATATATAAATCATCTCTTATTTATTCTGATTTGCATGTGGGGAGAAAGGACTTTGATGGAATACATTTTATCAATGGTTTGTTTTTTTCCCCCTTGGATTTAGGGTATCACACAAGCAAAAAGAAAGGTAGGGTTGCCTGCAAAATGTTGTCCTTTAGTTTTGTTTTAGATCTCCTAGCTTGCAATTTTTTGCATTTATGAGATTGCTGCTCTCAAAGCAATTAGAAAAATAACTTCCTTTGTGATTTTGAGATTTTCAAATGATACCATTTCTTATTCTTGCTTTTAGCAAGATGACACTCTGTACATTATGATTTTCCATTAATACAGTCAAACATCATTTTTGATTCTTGCTTTGCATTTGTTTTTGTTGCTTTCTTATACATTCTCTAGATATTCTGCAGCTATTGTAAATCCATTCATTTTCAGCATGCTAGTTTTTCCTTTTCAGATTATGCTAATCACATTAAGATTAATAGAATAATAGAATGTTCAAGATATTCTAAGATGTTTTGAACTGTGTGTTGTCAGGATTTGCATTACTTGATATTTTTGTACTAAAACTTGTGGAATGCATTTGTAAATTTATATTGGCAACCAAAAGGAAACATTTTTATAGTTTTACAAAACTGTTTTATAAAAAAATCTCCCACATCCGTCATTCAACTGGCACTTTTTAAGCACTTATCAAGATGAATCAGATATGGATTCTGCCTTTAAGGGGCCTAGAATCCAGTTGTAGAGGTAAGAGTCATACAGTTTAGAAAGTGATAACTATAAGAAGGATATAAGGACCAGGAAAGGCCTCATAGTGAGAGGTGTTATTTTGCAAGGCATTATTGGATGGGTAGAATTTGGATATTCTAGTGGGAGAGGAAAGGTGAGAAGGCTTTTCAGGTGGAGAACATAGAATGATGAAGTACTTGGAGGTGGGCCTTAGCTGTGTGTGAATGGGCCTTAGCTGTGTGTGAATGAGACATGTTAGGTTTACTGGCCTGATTCGGTTAGAGTAGAATTCTTTTTGGGAGTAGTAAGAAATGGTGATGTACGTAGAAAGGATAAGATCAGATTAGAAAGCGCTAGATTTTTAACTTGATATTGTGGCACAACGGTTAAGTGCTCGGCTGTGACCTGAAAGGTTGGGAGTTTGAAACTACTCAGCTGCTCTGCAGGAGAAAGACCTGATGATCTCCTTCTGTAAAGATGACAGCCTAGGAAGCCCTATGGAGCAGTTCTACTCTGTCACATGGGGTCGCTATGAGTTGAAATTGACTTGATGGCACCCAACAACAACAACAACAACATGTATGTCAGGCAGTGGTGAAACATTATACCTCCTTAAGCAGCCTGTGACAAGCAATGATAACTGTTTTAGGACAGTTCTGCAACGTTGAGACTCTCATCTTATTATCTTAGATTATTGCTACACTTTTTAACGGATCTTGCACTCATTCTCAGTCTATTCTCCATGATACTTTGCAGAATGATCACGTCCTTATTGGTTTAAATATTTTAGTGTCTCCTCATTGCCTTCAGGATAAAAATTTAAATTCTGCAGCGTAGCACGTGAAGTCTGTCTTGTCTCTCAGCCTGCCTCCCTGGCCTTCCTTGCACTCTTAAGATCTAACCATTCTGAACTACTTGTGGTTCCCTGAAGAGCCAGGCCTCCTCTGCTTAAAAAATTCTCCTCTCTTCCTTTTTCCTTACCTCTTTTTAACCTGGTTACAATTTAACTTACATGTCATTACCTCTGGAGGAATTCTTAATCTGACTCCACCAATTTAGGTTAAGTGCATGCCTTTCTCCACTTGATTTTATAGCACCCTGGGCTTAACTCTGTCATATGGTCTCATGTACTACTGAATTGTTTGTTTAATGGACTTCTCTTCTTACTAGTCAGGACAGAAATGTAGTTGGCACTCAGTAAAAGTTAGCTGAGTTAATGAATGTCCTTTTTTGCATATTTGTTATCCTGCTTTCATCCCAAAGTCCTTTTTCATTCCTTTAGAATGCTGATGGGATTCATAGAAGAAAATGTTTTTATGAAAGAGAAAGAGATCAAGGAGCACTAGTCTTGAAATTCAGAGGGATGTAGAAGAGTTTTTTTGGTGTTGGGTTATCAAGAATGTAGTTGCAGTAGAGGAAGTAAGAAATATCAGATACGTTTACAATACAGTAAATACTGTGGAAAACTTTTATCTTGAGATTTTTTTTCAGAATTCTCAAAACTTTATGATTTTTTTTAAATTAAAAAATACTTATTTTTCTTATGCAGTAAAATTCATTAAAATTGCTGCAAGTCCTGTATTTAGGATAATAGGGAAGAAATGTCAGTAGATCAGTGTTGTGGATTAAATTGTATCCCCCCAAAATATGTGTTGTAAATCCTAACCGCTTTGCCTGTGGTTACAATCCCATTTGGGAATAGGTTGTATTTGTTACATTAATGAGGCAGGACTAGTGTAGGGTATATCTTGAGTCAACCACTTTTGAGATATAAAAGAGATCAGATGCACCTAGCAGAGAGAGGTGGGAGAACAGATGCCAAGCCACATGAAGATTGCCCAGGAGCAGAAGCTCAGAAGAGACAAGGACCTTCCTTCAGATCCAACACAGAGAGAAAGCCTTACCCTAGAGCTGGTGTCCTGAATTCAGACTTTTAGCCTCCTAAACTGTGAGAAAATAAACTTCTGTTTGTAAAGCCATCCACTTGTGGTATTTCTGTTATAGCAGCACTAGATAACTAAGAATTTGGTACTGGAAGAGTAGGGTGTTGTTCTAACAGACACCTAAAATGTGGAAGTGGTTTTGGAACCAGGTAATGTGTAGAGGCTGGAAGAGTGTTAAGGTATCTAATAGTAAAAGCCTAGATTGCCTTGAAGAGACTGTTGGTAGAATTATGGATGTCAAAGGCAGTTCTGGTGAGGGCTCAGAAGGAAGTGAGGAAAGCAATACAGAAAGTGTCTGTCATCTTAGAGAATACATATGGTGTTGGGAACATAATGTTGTTAGAATTGTGGATGTTAACTGGTGAGGCTTTAAAAGGAAATGAGGGACGTGATTGGACAGTGGAGGAAAGGTGACACTTTATGCAGTGGCAAAGAGCTTGTCTGAATTATGTTCAAATGTTTGGTGGAAGGTAGAACTTGTAAATGATGAAGTTGGATATCTGGCTGATGAGATTTCTAAGCAAGATCTTAAAGGGGCTGCATGGTTTCTCCTTGCCGCTTACAGTAAAATGTGAGAGGAAAGAGATGGACTTAAAAATGAACTGTGCAAAATGAAAACAGAACTTGAAGATTTGGAAAATTCTGTTGTATAAATAAAGGACACGTGTCCTAGAATGTTCACCAAGGACATGGCTACCAAACTTCTGTTAAAGAGAGTGAACCTGTGACTGATGGATCTAACCAACTACCACAGCAGAACACCCATCAGCTTAGACTGAAGGGGGCAGAGAAAGAACAAAAGGAAAGAACACTGTCTGCCTCTTGGAATCCTGCAGGCAGGAAACAAGCCAGAGAAACTATATCTGTTGTCCTCTAAGAAAAGAAAAGGACCATTCCTGAAGCAACTCAGAGATCAGCAGAACCATTGGAAGGAGTGCAGGAAGCAGTGCTTTCTCAGTTTCAAAGGGTGGGGCCACGGTCTCCTGGATCTCAAAGGGTGGAGCCATAGCCTCCTAGGTTTCAAATAGTCAGATCTTCGCCAACTCGGTTCTGGACTGTGGAGCTGCCATTAAGGTGTGCCAGGGGGATGGGACTGCCACCCAAAGCTGAGGGGGTGGGGCTGCCATGCTCAAGGAGCAGAAGATTGGGGCCTGTTGGGGCCAAGAGAGTGGGGTCACCACTCAGATGGACCAGGAGAATGGGGCTGCCTAAAGCTGAGGGAGCAGAGTTCCCATCCCAGACGGCCTGGAAGACAAAGTTGAAGCCTAGCGCCAAGGGACCTCTACCCAGAATCCAGAGGGTGTGGCCAATATCCACAGTCTAGAGGGCAGGGCCATTGTCCAGATGGTCTCAGAGAACAGAGGATTATTTTCAATCCTCAGGAGCTAATGTATATTGTTCTGCCTATTTTGGATTTGCTTGGTGCCTGTTATCCCTTCTTTCCCTCCAGTTTCTCTCATTTGTAATAGAAACGTCTACCTTGTGCCTGTTCTACCATTGTACTTTTGAAACAGATAACTTGTAATCTAGATTTCAAAGGCTTACAGATGAAAAGGAATTTTTTCCCAGGATGGAATATGCCTAATGTCTCACCCATATTTGAATTAGATGCTTCAGAAGATGAGATTTTTGGACTTGGAGTTGTTTTAAGACTTTTGGGATGATGTGATGGAGTGAATATGGTTTTGCATGTGGCAAGGACGTGAATTTGGGGGGGGGCAAAGAGTGGAATATTATGGATTGAATTGTGTCCTCCAAAAATATGTGTTGTAAATCCTAACCTCTATACCTGTGGTTATAATCCCATTTGGTAATGTGTTGTCTTTGTTATGTTAATGAGGCAGGATTAGTGTATGGTATATCTTGAGTCAGTCTCTTTTGAGATATAAAAGAGATCAAATGCAAGCTAGCAGAGAGAGATGGGAGAACAGATGCCAAGCCACATGAAGATTGCCTGGGAACTGAAGCTCAGAAGAGACAAGGACCTTCCTGCAGAACCGACAGAGAGAGAAAGCCTTCCCCTAGAGCTGGCACCCTGAATTTGGGCATCTAGCCTCCTAAACTGTGAGAAAATAAATCTGCTTGTTAAAACCATCCACTTGTGCTATTTCTGTCATAGAAGCAGTAGATAACTAAGACAATCAGAGAAAGAGACAACATTTGGTTGACATCTGAGAAAGTGGGAGTAGAAAGCAAAGCCAGGGAAAAAGAAAATGACATAGATGTTTGCAATGGCTTCCTTGACCTCTGGAATGTGGATGGTTTCCAAGTCCTGTTCTTTCGGGATTATTATGGTTTCCAGACTTATGGATTGCATGGATATTTAAATTAAAAAAAAATCTAGTCTTTCAATTTTGCCAAGAACAGCTATTAAAACAAACAACTACCATCTTCTCTCTAGTTTTTAGAATAAAGGACACTTGACCATCTAAAAACACAGGGAAGACATATTCTTAGACACAAGAACAGTTTTTATATTGAATCAGTAACTTTTTATCTCCAGCCCAGACCTCTCTCCTGAGCTTCAAACTCTTCTGTCGAGCTGCATACTTAACATCTTCACTTGGTAATCTAATGTGCATCTTAAGTTGAACATGTCCAAAAGGAAACTCCTGGTTTCCATTCTTCTCATCCCCTCCCCTAGAAACCTGCACTACTGGTAGCCTGTAGCTTTTTAATTTTTTGTGACAGCACTTAACACCTTTTAACATAACATATAATTCCTATTCATTATGTTTATTGTTTGTTGTCAGTTTCCTCCTGCTTGAATGTAAGCTTTATGAGGGCAAGGCTCTTTGTCTGTTTTCTTCACTGATGAGTCTCAAGTATATTGAACAGTTGGGGCACATGACAGGTACTCAAAAATATTTATTGATGAATAAGTGAATGGTTAAATTTTTTCAAAAAACTCACTATGTTGTTTTTATTATTTATTTATTTTTTCATTTCATTGAACATTTCAAACATCATCTTGCACCTGTGTTGGTGGTGGGGGAATTGCCCAATAAAGGAATAGGGATGTTATATCTCTGTCTTCGCAGGGTTGGAACTCTCTGTACATGTATAATGCTACAAAATGATTAGCTTTATAGTGTATTTCAGGTACCTAGTCATGTCATGTTTTTTTCATTGGCAAATAAATTTAGTGTTCCATACAGCCAACTTTCAAATTAGCGTTTGACACAAAACTCATTTGTAGATTCAGATTTAATGAAATTTATTAATTAATTAGTTTTATTATCACTCTGTTCCCATAGTATTTTGAATATAAGTCTATTGTAGCTATTAGTACATTATATTGTAGTTATTTATTTACATGTCTGTTTCCCCAACTGAATTGTAAATCTCTTGACTATAGGGGTCACATGGTTATCTTTGTTTGCCTACCACTTAAAATAGTATCTTGAAAGTATTAGATAGTCAGTAATTGCCTATTTGGGGGAGTGGTGGTTGAGTGGTAGAATTCTCATCTTCCATGTGGAGGACCCAGGTTTGATTCCCAGCCAATACAACTCAAGTGCAGTTACCACCCATCTGTCAGTGGAGGCTTGTGTGTTGCTATGATGGCTGAACAGGTTTCAGCAGAGCTTCTAGACTAAGACAGGCTAGGAAGAAAGGCCCGGTGATCTACTTCCAAAAAATCAGCCAATGAAACTCTGTAGATCACAGCGGTCTGATCTTGTTCTGTGTGGCGTTGCCATGAGTTAGGTGCCCACTCAATGGCAGCTGACACTGACAATTGCTTGTTTAATGAATAAATAAATAAAAGACATGGAGCTAGACAGTTTAATAAGCACTGATTGATTTAATTCTTATAATCTCTAATGTAGATGGCATTTTCCCCATTTTACAGATGAAGAAACTCAGGCAGAGAAGCTAAATTGTTTATCCAGGTTATGTGACTACTGAGTAGCAGTGCCAGAAAGTTGGGGAGTGTGTGTATTTTTTTACTAATACTGTTTGTTTGCTCTATAGCGCTCAAGAGATTTTACATTTTTTATCCTCCTTGATCCTTATACCTAAGGAGCCCTGGTGGCGCAGTGGTTAAAGCAGTTGACTGCTAACCGAAAGGTCAGCTGTTGGAAACCACCAGCGGCTCTGGGGGAGAAAGATATGGCGGTCTGCTTCCGTGAAGATTTACAGCTGTGAAAACCCTGTGGGGTCTCTATGAGTTGTAATCGACTTCATGGCAGTGGGTTTGGTTTGCTGATCCTTGTACCAGCTTTGGTAGGTAGGCAGAAGAGGAAAGTGTGTGTCAGAGAGGTTAAGTGACTTACACAACTGATAAGCACTGGGGCTAGGAGCAGAGTCTACATCTTCCGACTCCTAGTCTACTGCTGTGTCTGCTACACTGCATTACCAAAATGTCAAATGAACAAGACTGGAGAGACAGAAACAACATTCATAGTTTATACCTTTGGCATTTGAGTAGATATCTACTCGTGTAATTGTGGGAAAAATATAAAAAAAAAAACATTTTTACAGCATACATAAGGATATTTGTGAGGACGTTTAAATTTGTTTTAAGAATAAAAGAACAGCATAAGGCACTGAGAATGAAGTAGAATGTGTGCTTAGAAAAGGAATATAAGTTAGGAAACAGCTTCTTTTTTTTCCCCATGCGTTTGATCATCTTGAATCAATAGATTGCCAATGAAAATTAAGGCCTGATTCTCCCTTTCAGGGAGTTGCTGATTGGAAGAAAATTGTCTTTTTTCTAATCACTTTTGATTTGGTGTCTGTAGATTAGTAGTTTCTATCTTCATCTCCATCCCATTCTTTTGCTCTGCATAATGTAATGATTTAGAATAGACAATGTAAAGAGATGCATTTTTGAAATCCATTTTATGAAGGCAATTAAATAATATCTTTTTTTTCGTGTGTATATATACAGAAAAATTTTCTATCTACGGTTGAAACAGATCCATCTACTCTGGGAGTTTCTCTTCCTATTGGTGAGAGGTTATCTGCCAAGGTAGGTGGGTAGGAGTAGTTTTTGCGGGTAGCAGTTTTCTGAGGCATCAAAATCATATATATTTCTTTTTGAAAAATCTGGAGTCTCTAGTTGTGCTGTTTAAAAAAGTAATTGAGCGTTACATTGATAATCATAATGTGACAAACATATTTCCTTAATATGTTGATTCTTTTGCTATATTCTGCTATACTTGAAAATTCAGAGTTCATTTTTTTCAACATTGGTTTCTGAGATACAAAGTTTCTGCTGTGACACATTTATCAGTGAGATGAGTGGATGTGAGTATACTGAGCTTTTACGTAGGGTGAGGGTCTGGGCCTGTTTGAATGTGTGTTTCTATCACTCCACAAGACATGTACGTGTCCTCCAGAGGTGGTAGCAGTAAAGCACTGTATACCTCATGTAGAGACCCAATTCCCAAGGTAGATGAGAGATCAAGAAATAGTATGTAAGACATAATGGACAGTTAATAAGTTTCAAAAGACAGAAAAGAGTTTCTTTAATACTTTTTTAGATTGTGTCGTTTCAGTAACATTGGAGGCATTAGAGCTTATGAACATTTTCTAATGTAATATATTTGTGTTTCTACAGAACATTTCCATCATACTGTGTTAGTGTCTGTGATAATTTTACTTTTTCATGTTTAAAATATAACGAGGATCCTTCTTTAACACTGGAAAGGAAATGGTTAGCCTCAAGCCTGCAGTCTGGTCTCTCCTTTTCAGGAGTGGGGTGGGAGATTGAGGCCAGAGTATGCCGTTGAGAGAGAAGGAAGGTCACAAGGTCAAATTTCCTTGTAAACATGGTAATGACAGGCTTCTGGCAAACACATTAATTATATTTGCTTTTGGGAGATATTTACCTATGGAATACTTTTTGCAGGATGTGCCTGCTTTGTCTAAGATTATTTATGGTAAACAAATCCGAATCTATGGATTTATGGGGCATAGCTCCTTGGAAAATGTCATCTAACTTATGTAACTATTGGAGTATAAAATGGAGATGCTTCACAACCAAAACAGCTCCCTTTCTCTTAGAGACCTCATGTTAATCTGGACCCAAGTGTGTACTAGTAATGTGTGTTCTAATGTGCCAAGAAAGGACTGGGCATCTGCATTGGTGGTCTCAGACCTCTTTCTGCTTTTCCCATGCCTCGATATTACTTCTGTCCTTGAAATTGTTAGTAGAGCTTGATACTGGGTAAGATCTCTGATTTGTTTGAGTCTGATTTGACATCTGATTTGACTATAAGGTTCTTTTTCCTGAAGTTGAAGGTAACATTGCCTTTTGATTTTTATTTTAAGGAAAGATTGAAACTTGAACGTAACAAAGAGTACAATCAGTTTCTCAGGGGTAAGGAAGAATCCAAGGAAACTTTCAGACAGGTAGAAAAGAGTACTGAGGTAGGTTTGTTCTTAAAGTAAAATTTATGATGCCACAAGCTTAATATCTTGTACTTACTTGACATGCATTTTGTATTTTAGATGTTTCTTTTGGTTTTTATGTAAATATAAAAAAAAATTAAGCCAAATTAAATCAAACACAGCACACTTAAATATTTTATTTTAGAAACTGTTTTATCTCATTTGAAGAACTTACTCTACTTTTTAACTTCATAGGGGAGATTTAATTTTAGAGATTAGTTTTATTAAGTGATTTTTATTTATTTATTTTTATAATTGACAATGTCTAGCTGTATTTTCTTCCTCAATTTAAAGGTTATTAATGTTACCAGGACCAAAAAATTTACCATGTTTTGTATCCTTTTTGTTGATAAAGAATTTAATTTGAAATATTTTGAAGCGATATGCAACTACCAAAAATATGCCTAATTTCTTCTGGGATAGGAATTTGCATTTAGTTTATCCTGTCTTTTTATAGCTACTTACTGTGATATTACTATTGCTTGTCTGTTTGATATTTATTAAGTTTTATTGAAGAATGAAATATCCTTGGAAGTTTTTTCTAAAGATAAAATTTTTCTTATGGGTGATTAAGTACCAGAGTGGAAATGATAAGTAGGCTAATCATCATTTGAGAGTGTCATTATCTTTTAAAGAATAGTATCTTATTCAGATCTGTTGTTTTTTTTAATTGAACAGTCTAAGAGTGAAAGAAATAAAAAATCTGTTTGTCAAGTTAAGCCTGATTTACCTTCACAAGTACAAGCATCCTGCAAAAATTCAGAAGGTCCTAGGAGAGATGTCTTAACTCCTTCAGAGGCATATGAAGAGCTTCTAAACCAAAGACGGCTGGAGGAGGACAGATATCGACAATTAGATGACGAAATTGAATTAAGGAATAGAAGAATTATTAAAAACACTCATGAAGAAGGGAGCATTTCCAGTAAAAAACACCAGAGGCTTGCCAACAAGGCTGATATTCCAGACAGAAGATTTCGCAGGTTTAATGAGGATCGTGTTCTTGATAGACAGTATTATAGACCAGACCATGATCCTGAAGTAAGTGAAGAGATGGACGAGAGGTTTAGATATGAAAGTGATTTTGATAGAAGACCTTTGAGAGTGTATGCAAATGACAGGTATTTTCTTCATTTTTATTTTCGTTGTTTAATATTGCTGTTGTTACTTTTTATAATTGTATCAGGGAGAGGCAATTGCATTTTATTCACCATGTTCAGTTAATTCTAAGATGCTATTAATTTTAAGACGCACCGTTATTTTATGTGCTACTGGGGAAATAAAAACACCTTAGTCTCATTTTGTCCTATGGCTCTGTCCAGTCTTAGGCTAGAATGTGAATCTAAGGAGTGACTTCATTACTGGGCTAAAAGGGTGTCTGGGGGCCACACTCTTGGGGTTTCTCCAGTTTCTGTCAGGCAAGTAAGTCTGGTCTTTTTTTGTGAGGTAGAATTTTGTTCTCCAGTTTTCTCCAGCTCTGTCTGGGACCCTCTATTGTGACCCCTGTCAGAGCAGTCAGTGGTGGTAGCCGGGCACCAGCATCTAGTTGTACTGGACTCAGTCTGGTGGAGGCTGTAGTAGTTGTGGTCTGTTAGTCCTTTGGACTGATCTTTCACTTGTGCCTGTAGTTTTCTCTTGCTCCTGAAGAGGTGAGGCCAAATTTTTTGAGGAGTAATGCTGCACATTCAGTATTCTAGTTATTAAAAGCAATACAAAGTCTTTACAATTCTTTGTCTTCTGCTCTTTATGCTGCAGATATTCAGTCCTGCTTACCCAGTCTCTTTAATAATCACAATGGTTTAGGTAATATGAGTGAAGGGTTAGAATTTTAGAATGCCAAATCTGGTTTCTCTGATCTAAATCTAATTGTACTTCAGAAAATGCTCCAAATCCTAGAATGTGTTGTATTTGAAAATGATTGTATGTGAAGGTACGCAAAGGCAGCCTAAGTTAGAAACTCTCAATTGGGGAATCACAGGTGAACTGGACTCTTGGTTATGTCTTCTTTGTACACAGCTTTCTTTTTCATCATAATGTTTGTTTATGTTTAAGGTATAATATAATGCATACCTTTTAAGTTTGGAATTTTAAGAAACTTATGGTGATTGTTGCTTTTTAAAATATACCTTGTGATAATTGTTTACATGAACTAGCAAATGAATTTTATCTTCATTATTTGAGAACTATTTTATTTTCTATGTATCCCATAATAAGTGAAATGAATTCTTTCTATATAATCTTCTCAAAGTAGTAGGTTTTTTTTTTTTTTTTTTTTTTTTTTTTAGTTTTTTTACCCGTTCAACTGCTTGTACACAAATTGTTTCATGACATTGGTTGCAACCGCTGCAATGTATTAGCACTCTCCCCATTACCCCTCTGAGGTCCCCATTTCCATTTTTCCAATTTTCTAGCCCCTTCCTGCTGTCTAATCTTTGCTTTTGGGCAGATGTTGCCCTTTTGATCTCATATAGATGATGGTTCTAAGGAGCACTTTTCTCACAGGTGCTATTGCTCCAGTGGCGCAGTGGTTAAGAGCTCAGCTGCTAACCAAAAGGTCGACAGTTGGAACCACCAGTTGCTCCTTGGAAACCATATGGGGCATTTCTTTTCTGTCCTGTAGGGTTGCTATGAGTCAGAATCGACTTGATGGCATTCGGCTGGGGGTGAAGGTTTATAATTTGGCTGAAAGGTGATCTCCAGAAATGGCTTCATTTCCAAGTTAGAAGGGTGTCTAAGGGCCATAGTCTTGGGGGCTCCTCCTGTCTCTGTTGGTTCAGTAAATCTGGTCTTTTTTATGAATTTTAATTTTGTTCTATATTTTTTTCCCACTCCAACCAGGACCTTCTGTTGTGATCCTGGTCAGAGTGGTCAGTAGTGGTAGCTGGGCATCATCTAGTTCTTCTAGTCTCCGGCTAGTGGAGGCTGTGGTTCCTGTGGTCCAATAAACCTTTGGACTAATTGTTTCCTTGAGGTTTTGGTTCTCTTCACTGTCTTTTGCTCTGGGTAGAAAGAGACCAGCAGTTGTGTCTTAGCTTTTAAGACCCCAGACATTGCTCATCAAAGTAGGATGTAAAATGTTGTCTTTATGAACTATTGTTATGCCAGTTGACCTAGATGTCCCCCATCCAAGTAGTATTTTAAAAATAAACATGAGGACGAATGAGAGTAATTCTTGTTAGACATTTAAAAGTTTTGAGAAATATTTCTTCAAAATGTACATCATTATTTGTTACTTCCATTTTGTTAATGCATAAATTCTTAAATTGTTTTGCATTTGTCTCTGTGGCAATTACAGTTAAAATTAAATTTCTAGATTTCAGATTTGTAGAATCCTTATTTCTAGCAGAGAAACAAAAGATTTCATATAGATCATTTGAGATTTTACTATTTAATAGGTAGTATGATTGGTAGGAAAAGTGACTGTACTTGTTAGTGACATTTTTGAGCTTAAAGAAATGTGCAGTTGCAGCTGGTCTCTTGGTCCAGGTGTTTCTTATTGTTAATATACTTTAGTCTTAACCAGAAGTTCTTGAAAATAAAAAAAATAGGTATAACTGATTAATTTTCCTTCATTCTCCTAAGCTTCCCTGTTGTCCATTTTTCCCCCCTTAAGTCAGTGTCTGATAAATTCTAGTTTTGGCTTATAATAAATTTTTATTTTCATATTTTTTATCTCAGTTCCTCTCTAAATACCATATAAACTTTTTTATGTACCATAGTTTACTTATTACTGAAGTATTTTCCCCACTTTAAAGATGGGAAAGCTGAAGCCCAGAAATGATGAGTGATGTTACTTTCCTAAACTTATTATCTTGGATCACTGGCAATGTTCTTGAATAGGTTAACAAGGTGGTTAGCCCTCTGTTTGGCAGTTGTATTCTGTGTGTGTGTGTGTGTGTGTGTGTGTGTGTGTGTGTGTGTGTGTATTTATTTATATATACATATTTACCATCTTGAGTAAAATTTATGATGTTTTAAGAGCTTTCTAAAGTAGAATGTAATAGTATGTCTTATAATACTTCGAAATTTATAGGCTCTTTTTAAATATAGTTGCCCTGGTCTTTGTTATTTATTAACTTGAGCTGCAGAAGTTAATATATTATCTTACTGTGTTTTACTTTAACTAACGTTAATCAATAAAAGAATTTTTTAGCATTAAAAATGCTGTTTTTTATTTTCTATGGGATTAATGTAGTTAGCACTTCCATTCTACTTTTGATATTTGCTAGCTTATGATCTTAGTGGTCCTTTAATAAATTCTAAAATAACACTCCGTCTGAGATTAGAATCTGTGTTAGCCACATAGAGTGAGTGTTTCCTTAACATAGGATACTCTTCTAAAAACTGTGCATGCTTACTCCATAAGATGTAAATGGGGAGAAATAGCTTATTAGACTATAAGTTACTTGGTTTGGTATTTCTTTTTTCTTCTTCTACAAGTTTATCAACTTCTGTTTATCTTTGGAAGAGCTATTTTAATATTAACCATTTTCCCACTTTAAAAATGGCATCGGTAATAGAAAAACATCATCACTGAATTAAAGTAAATAAAAAAAAATTGGGAAAGAAATGAAAACAGTGAGAGAAAATGGTTACCCATAGTTAAGACCTCAGTGTTTTTCTTTAACATCTATAGTGAGGGTACCTTTAACAGCAGAATTCATTTACAATTGAAAAATGCTTGATATATAAACAAGGCAATATAACTACCATCATTATAAATTAGTTTCTTTTAAGTAAGGAGAAATTTGATTCTTCCTCCCTGCGAGCTGTATTAATAGAGGACTAACATATGGTAAATATTTTATTTTTAGGATGTGTTATTATTGATAGCATAAACATTGTAAATTTATTTCTGAAGTAGTTTGATTCTGTGGTTTATTAAGGAAAAAGGAGATGTTACTTATCATTTAGGAGTTGTTTACTCACGTTTAAATTAGTTAGCTGAAAAGACCTGTGGTTTTAAACAATTTTTTTCTTTAATTGAGTAATTTTTTTAAAAGATTTTCACATGTGCTAATTTTTTAGGGTAAACATGGCCTCTAGTCCGTACCTGGTTTCTTTGGGCATTGAGAATTTTACCTAATCAGCTAGAGTTTTTGATCCATATCTTCAAGGAAATAGAGAACGAAAAAAGGCTTTTTCGATTAAATATACCTTTAACTTTTTTTTAATAGTAGGATAGTGACTCCATTTTGCAGTTGTTTTTTTTCCTTCAGTCATGTCTGATTTGCTACGGTCAAAGGAAGCAAATTCTCTCTTATGAGGTCTGTTCCTTTCTGACAAAACCCAGTGGGTTGTGGTGTGTTAAGTGAGCCTTAGGGATTTATAGCCATAGAATATTTAGATAGATTAGTTCTGGGTCGTAGGGATAGTACTAACCTGGGACTGCGTCTAAAGCCACAACTGAACAGAAAGGACTTTCCAGGGCCAGACTGGACCTAAACCGAACCCCTGGACTTTAATTAGAGTCAGACTGTCCTTGGACATTTAGTGAGCTCATCAATTCTGGATGTTACCATCTCTCAGTTGGCTGTTAATGTTGAGGGGATTGAAGAGAGAGAGAGCAATGGTAAAACCACTGCTGGCTGTCATAGTTCCTTTCTTCAGAGAGGACTTCATTTGCCTCAGTAAAGGTTTCTAAAATAAATCATAAGACCACCATAAAAGGCTGCTATGCTAAAGTGAGCTAGCAGGGTTAGTTACCAACCAACCAGTTACCAGTGAAAGTGATTAGATGCTAAATTTATTAAAAATATGAAAGGGAGTTTGGTAAATGAAGGAAATCCTATCACAATTATAGGAATTTTTTATAGAGAAAAAGGTGTCTAACTTTCCAACCTATTATTTGGCTTTACAGCTTGGTAGCTTCACTTCTAGGTTTTTTGTCTTTTATTTGTAACATATATTAGTAATATTTTATATTTATGGAATCTCCATTTTTAAAATAAGGATTTAGAATCTTCCTTGATTTAACAAAGCAATCCTATCGACTCAGTCATTCGTAAAATTGAATAAGATGCCTTAAAAGTTTATTTTATCCTTTTTAGTGAAATGTGTATTTCTGCTCATTTTTCTGTCCTCTTAAACATTTCCAGTCTTGATTTTGTTGAGATTATCAGTGACAGGGGACTTTTATAATTTCATTAATGAATTTTTTTTTATTCACTGAAAAGATACACCTTAGACCATCTGTCATATGGGCTGTTCTTTAGGAAATCTTTGTGTTTTTACTGTAGATTTCAGCAAAGAGAATTTGACCTTATATATAAATAAAATATCTTAAACTTCCCTGATTTAGAATGAACTTTGAAAATGACCTCTTGTGACTTTGTGGTGCTTGCTTTATTAAGGTATCTATACATACTGAAGAGTCTATAAAAACATTTTTTAGCATACTTAAAATACTAAGTAAAAATATTTGTACTTTAAGCACAGCTGCATAAAGATAACCTATAACTGCAAATCCAAATACTGTCTTCAGACAACATAACTGAAAATGCAGGAAGCAACAAACTCCTCGGTAAATTTTACAGCAAGTTTTTGTACGTCTAAATGGCCTTTAATTCTGGGATCCTAAATTATGTGTTTAAAAATTTGTAACTTTAAATTTCTCTATATTTAAAAAACTTTCATTAGTAAAGACATCTTTTTACCACATCAAGAATTTACTTTTGTGTGATTTGTCATGGGTTCCCAAGACCACCCACGTTCGATGATTCACTTCAGGGACTTACAGGACCAGCGTGTAGTTGTATTCATGGCTATGATTTGTTAAAGTGAAAAGATACAAAGCAAAATCAGCAAGAGGAGTGCGCATGAGGCAAAGTCCAGAGGAAACCAAGCACAAACTTCCAAGGGTCCTTTCCCAGTGGAGTCACACAAGACACGCTTTTCCTCCAGCATTCAGTTGTGACAACACGGGTGAAATATTGTCTACTAGGGAAGCTCATTAGAGACTCAGTGCCCAAGGTTTTAATTGATGACTGGTCACATAGCCACCATTGCCGAGCACGTAGCAAAATTGCTGACTCCTAGAAGGAAAGTGGATGTTCAGCATAAACTACACTATTTACACAAACAGTTGAGTCACAGTGACGACTCCTATCAGTTCTGGTAATGATGGGAACCCCTTTTCCCCACCCCATCCAAGTTTTTTCTTTTTTAAATTTTTATTGTGCTTTAGGTGAAAGTTTTCCAAGTTCCTAGATACCAGCCAAGGGCTAGCCTTGCCAAGGAGGCCTTTCTAAGGATAAGCAGTCTCAGACCTGCTCTGTTAACTTTTTTCTACACATACATGTTTATATAAATCTAGCATTACTAAATCTGGTCGCCAGCCATTGTGAATGGCAAATTTGAGTTTGGCCTTATGTTTACCTGCTGTTTAAGTGGTAGAAATAGGAAATGACACTAAACTAATGTAAGAGAGATTTGAGCACGTAGGCTTTAGCTATAAAACCAGCTGCATTTTGAGAAATTGAAATAAATTTGAAATTCTTTTTTGAAAGGACTCATGGAGAGTTCTGTTGTTTAGATATGGATGAAAGAAAGTAGCCATTCATGTGTCATGCCAAGTCATAAATTAAGGTTAAAATTCCAGATAGCTTTTTTTCTTCACAGATGGTCTTAACAATGGCTTGTATGATGGAGACAAGCCAAGAGAGAATTTAGTATGCTGGTCGTGTGGAGAGTGAGAAGATCCTTTTCTTCTAAAAATTGCTGTTTCTCTTAATCTGATAAAGAAATTCACCTAAAATATTGAACAATACTTTAACAACCATATTTTTTTTCTCCTAGTCCTCTTGAGAAAGACGGTATAAAGTCTGTTAACTCAACAGCTACATAAAGAACTATGATTTATGAAGTGCTAATTTTCATGGATGCTGATAGATATAAAAAGTTCATGTTGATTTCTCTTATATGAGAAATTAAGTGAAAGAAATCAGTGTTTGCCAAATGGAAAAAAAAAAAAAAATCATGACCAGTTAATTGAAAAACAGTTTTTTCATTATTATTTTCTAAAAAGGATTTTTAAGAAGAAAATTAAAAACATTCTAATCTTTGTTTTCATTGAGTAAAATGAATTAATCATTTTCTACCCATGCATCAGCCTGTTTGTTTATAATGGTTTTCATTAATCTCTTGCTCATATTTATTTTCTTTCATGTGATTTACAGTGTTAACAAATGTTGTGGTTTGCTACATTTGATTTACCTTAATGGTAAGACTGCTGCTATATTTTTAAGTTTAAAAGGCTTGCATATGTAGTGAAATAATTCCCAGAATCTATGAATTTTGTTTTCAAACAGTGATCTCATTTTGAAAATTGACTGTAATCTTCATGAAGGCAGGCACCATGCCTACTGTGCTTAGTGCTGTCCACCCAGTGCTTAGAATAGTGCTTGGCACATAGTAGATGCTCAATAAATATTCTTTGAATAAATTAATAAGGAAGTCTTAGTACATGCATAGTTTTAAAATGATAAATTTCTAGAAGTTATAGTGAAATTATAACAAGCTCCTTAGTTTAAAGACTTCAGTCTAAACTTTAGTGTCTCTCATTAACTAGCAGACCATTCTTGAATCAAATCTGATTTGAATCAATTTTGAAATGTTTTTACAATAAAACTTTATTATAACACTTTGTTCTCTTTAATGTTTCCAATGTCAAATATAAAAACCCAAAGAGACAAAAGAAGGTCCACTGTATGTGTAGCGTGCTCTATAAGCTAATGTGTTTTTAAGGATATACGGGAACAGACGAGGGAATATGCCTCCTATGGAGTATGATGGTGATTTCACAGAACAGTCAAACATACGAATTTCATCTGCTGGAAATAAGAGGTATAGTATATAATAGAAATTTGCCCTTCAGTCATTGTACTGTGAAGCCTGCCTGAAAATGTCTTACTGAAAAAGTGGAATGGTATAATATATTAACAGCTTTCCTTATTAGTGAGAAAAGAAGAAAAAAAGCAGGGGGTTGTTTAAATGCAGATTTATAGTACTTTACTACATTCATTTGAAGAGCGCGTTTTGGTTAACGAGCGTACTAGGGTGTTCTGAATAAGTCCCTATCATTATAAGTATATAAAATTGAGCTACTGAAAGGAGAATTAAGCATACATTTACTAGACTAAAGATTAACTTAAAATGTCTTGGAGTTATGGGGATGATGCACCTTTTGACTGGAAATAAATTGAAAATGTTTCTGCAGTGCGAATTTTCCTTTTAAAACTTTTTGATTTTTAGCTTATTAAAGAGATAACTTTTTGCTTACTGTACGAAGTTAGTGCTCGTGTATTTCTGTCGTGTTGGAAAGGAAAACATTACTCATATTTTATATTTGTGTTGTCTTTCTACTTACAGTTTTCAGTCATTAGTGGTTTTGAATCTACAGTGTATAATTGAGATAATATTGTTACATGTCAGGAAATGCGTCTATTTTCTTTGAAGAAAAGTAGTGTATAAGCAGTGCTTGAGCTAAGAATTGCTTTTTAGGTTTAATTGTGTTTTCTTTGAAGGAGTTGTCTTTTCTTCCTAGTTCGTATCTTTAAAGGAAGAAGTCTTTTAGAGATGGAATCTTCTCCAAGTGTGTGCAGATGAACTGCCCTTCTCTTCTTTTTTTAGGATTTATTTATGTGTACTTGCATTCATTTTCCTTGCTGGGGCAACTGTTCTCATAAAAAAGGATTTTATTTGAGAACCGATAGAGCCAGTGAAGTGGACTGAAGAAAATGTTTGTATTTGTATAGAACCTGAATACATTGGGATCCCACTATATAAAGAGCTAAAATGCCATGATTTTACCTTAACTTTAAAAATATTTAATGGTTTTACATTTTATTCTAAATGTTTGCTTCCTGAAAAATTATTTGGGCTCCAATTCTTTTTTGTTTTGTTTTGTTTTAGCTCTCGAGACAACGTTCCCAATGAACGATCCAAATCTGCTAATACTCGAGATGTCTATAGTCCTTTTGTGGGGATGGTCTTTGGTATGTACAAAACTCCAATTGATTAGACATTTATAGAATTTTGTAAAAGGTCTTTAGTGAGAACTCAGTGTTGTAATTAATAGTACTTTTACTACTAATAGAAAACATTTATCGAGTGCTTACTTTATGCTAGTTACCATACTAAGCATTTAACATGTATTATAGTTCCGTGTATAATTTTAAAACTAAATAACTTATTTAGTGATGAACTTTCTATAGATGATCAGTGAAATACTAGTTTCAGTAATAAGCTTTTGATTTTTTATTTTACCAACACTTTGTTGTAGTGTGACTATTTCTTATATTCTGTTTTATATGTGATAGTTTTTCTTCTTCATTTTTAGTCTTGATTCTTTAGCTTGCCCCAAACTTCCTTATATTTCAGCTTACTTCCCCTTACTTTTCCTTCTTGTCGGCTTTTACGGTGGCTGCCTCTTTCTCTGTACTCTGCTAAAGGTAAAACAGTTGGATTGTCCTGTCTCTCCTTGAATTGATTTTTTTCACCTCTTGGAATTTAGTTCACCTGGTTGCTTGTAACTTCAGCTCTCTGATGGGCTTTTAAAAAGTTATGATTTCGTAGATGATGCGGCTTTTCTTATTGTAGGGTCAGAGCAATGTTCTCTTGTGGCTTTCTATTTTCTAAGCAGAAGAACTCCTCATTTAGTTGTTTATAATAGCTTCCATTTTCCTCATTATGTTCACATTCTCATTTAATTTCATTTTCATGGCTATAATAGCTATTTTAACATCCTTATTTGTTTGTTCCAGCATCTCTGTCATTTATGTGCTCAGCTGAGCTCTTAACCACTGTGCCACCAGGGCTCCATGTAACTTTTCTACTGGTTAGGGGTCATTATATTAGTTTTCTCTTTCTGCATAACAAATTACCAAACACTCAGAAGCTCAAAACAACCCACATATATTATTTCACAGCTTCCTTGGGTCAGGAGTCTGGGCATGGCTTAGTTGGGTCCTCTGCCCAGGTTTTCACAAGACTGCAATCAAGTTGTCAGCTAGGCTATGTTTTCATCTGGAGGCTTGACTAGGGAAGACCTTGCTTCCAAGCTCATTCAGGTTGTTGGCAGAATTCATTTCCTTGTGGCTGTATGAATGAAGGTTCTGGCTTCTTACTGACTGTTGGCTGCCCGAAGTTTCTAGAGGCCACCCACTGTTCCTAGAGGCTGCCCGAAGTTTCTAGAGGCCACTCACTGTTCCTATAGAGGCTGTCCAAAGTTTCTATAGGCCACCTGCTGTTCCTAGAGGCTGCCCAAAGTTTCTAGAGGCCACCCGCTGTTCCTAGAGGCCACCCACTGTTCCTAGAGGCTGCCCAAAGTTTCTAGAGGCCACCCGCTGTTCCTAGAGGCTGCCCGAAGTTTCTAGAGGCCACCCACTGTTCCTAGAGGCTGCCTGAAGTTTCTAGAGGCCATCTGCTGTTCCTAGAGGCTGCCCGAAGTTTCTAGAAGCCATCCACTGTTCCTAGAGGCCACCTGCTGTTCCTAGAAGCTGCCCAAAGTTTCTAGAGGCCACCCACTGTTGCTAGAGGCTGCCCGAAGTTTCTAGAGGCCACTCACTGTTTCTAGAGGCTGCCCAAACTTTCTAGAGGCTACCTGCTGTTCCTAGAGGCTGCCCGAAGTTTCTAGAGGCCACCCATTGTTCCTAGAGGCTGTCCGAAGTTTCTAGAGGCCACCTGCTGTTCCTAGAGGGCACCCACTATTCCTGGAGGCTGCCCGAAGTTTCTAGAGGCCACCCGCTGTTCCTAGAAGCTGTCCGCTGTTTCTTGCCATGTGGATTTCCTCACTATGGCTGCCCGCTTCATCAAACCAGCAAGGAGAATCTCTAAATTCAAGGAGAGCCCAGTCCCTGTTTTAAGGCCCTTCACCTGATTATATAAGGCGCATATAAGATACTCTCTGTTTTGATTAATTCAAAATCAGTTGATTTGGTACCTTGATTATATTTGTAAATTCCCGTCACCTTTGGCATTTTCTGTTGACTGGGAGCAAATCACAGATCCCGCCTACACTCAAGAGGATTATAGAAGGAGTCAACACTAGGGAGCAGGGAACATAGGGGCCATCTGAGAGTATTGCCTGCTACAGTCAAAGTTTCTGTTAAGGATTGATTTGATCCTCTTGAGCCTGTTTTTAAGCTTAGCTAGGCGAATCTAAAGTAGCCTGTACTCAGGAATAGTTCAGCCCTGTTGCCACAGAGTGACCTTTCTGGAGTCTGGCCGAATACACCAGGGGATCACAAAGAACTCTGCATTCTGGCTGGTTGGTACTTCAGTTTTTCTCTGCTTTGTTTGAGGTTCTGAGAGTTGTTCAGGTTACATGTCCGCCATAGTTTTTTGCTCAGCCTAATGGAATTTTATTCTATACATGCAAACACTAACTAGTACACAGTAAAGTCTGAAGGGATCCCTTTACAAGTTTCTGGATCTTTTTTGTTAGCCCCCTTCTTTTTGGATCTTTGCCCCAGAGCTTCCAGTTACTTTAGCCTTCCTGAACTTTGATCTTTATCTACTCAGTTTAGCTCAGTTACCCAGCTCTGTTTGGGTTCTCCCTCCCTGCACCTTTGGTCTGAAATTGCATTTGGGCAGAAACCTGAGGTGAAGTAGGGCTCACCTCCTTTCCTCAGGTATTACAGTCGTGCACTGCCCGTTGTCCAGTGTCTGGAAAACAGTTATTTTGTGTATTTTTTTTTTTTTCCCAGTTTTCTAGTTGTTTTATGGTGGGAGGTTAGGTCCTATGCTTGCTTCATGGTCAGAAGCAGAATGGATAGATCTACTTTGATTATAAAACCCTATTCTTAGTCTTAATGTAATTCATGTTACCCCTACCGGAGCTTTACTATTGCTGATATCTCTACTTAATGGCCAAACCCAGCAGATTCTGAATACCCTCTTATGGTTGGGAGACCAATAATTAAGGCAGCAGAAAAATTGCTGGTTTGGTTGCATTCTTCTTTTTTTTTTTTGATTTTAAAATTTTTTCCCATACAAAAATTTATACATACATTGTTATGTGACTCTAATTGCTCTCCGCATACTGTGACAGCACACTCCTCCTTTCCACCCCTGATTCCCCATGTCCATTCAACCAGCTCCTAACCCTCTCTGCCTTCCCATCTCACCTCC